TTACATAATATACAGTTTATTAACTGTATTAATACTTTTTTTCTAGGATTCATTTTGTTGTTGCAAAACAAAACAACAATAGTAATAGCATCAGACACCCAAAAATTAAAATAAAAAATAAAAAGTAAATGCTAATTACAAAACATTTAATGCCTCTGTTTTCCTTCAAAGTAATACATCCAAATATATGACAGTGTAAAGACATGCACCAAAATACTTCCACAATTAAACATATATATATATTATATATTATATATTATATATATATATATATATATATATATATATATATATATATATATATATATATATATATATATATATATAATATATATATATGTATAAAGTATGAATCTGCTTCAGTACATAAGGAAACTTGTTATTTCATTTTTTTCCTAAAGTTTTTCCACCAAACTTTACAACAACTACACTCAGAATTTAATACCTTCAAGAAAGATTACATATGATCAGAGTCTAAATTTACAATGGGGATTATTTTCTCCAAAGCACCAAATCAACCTGGATTAGAGATCCTTCATAGAGAAATGAATTTCGAATCAAGATAATTATTTTCTTAACATTAAGGCACTTAAAATCAGAATTTTGGGCATTAAGTGTTCAATAATCATTTATGTGATTCAGTTTACCAAGTCAAGTTTGGAATGTTTTCCCCTATTTTAATGAAAAGAGCACATAACCTTTAAAGAGAACCTTACATGCAACTGTTCACCTACAATACCACAGCACATTGCATTTAACAGTAATAGAATAAATGTGCTTAGTAAATTCTAATGGATACAAAAATATCAAGTTACCTGGAATAGTAACTATAGTGAGAAATCACATTACAAAATCAAATAAATATGAAACACAATGACAGCACTAGAAAATATATAGTGACTAATATATCTCAATATATCATTAATTAGCATCTTCTTTGGGAAAACTACAACAAAAATCTATAACATCAAGACAACTTCTAGTGTATTTTGGTTTAGCTAAAGCTTATCCTTATTTTCTTGTGTTTTGCAAAAAAATAAATATGACTAACAACAATTAAAATTCTATTATCATTTATAAAGCTGTAAGTATCTTGGCTAGAAAAGTATGAAATTTGTTTTTCAAAAAAAACAACGAGTATTAAAGTGATAACGACAGCAGTGAAAAAATGTTGCAATAACGAGGAAATATTTCTACAGCATAAGTAAACAAAAAGTAGCATTACAGGCTGTGCATACACCGATGAATGGGAAGGCAACTACTATGCAGGCATCTGGGACAACAGGATATGGGTTTGTCACAAGAGTCAACCCACAAATAGCTAGTATACAAGCCATAATTTTGCTTCTAAATGACACTATCTACAGATGGTTAGGTCTCTGAGTTAGTAATATGTAGAAATATTTATCTCTTTACTACTACTCACTGGGAAATTTAGTCACCACTAACATTTTCACATGGTTTAGGGTAGAGTGGAGAAGCAATGTAACAGTATAAAAAAAAGCAATACGAACTGAAGTGGATACTGTATGTACTGTATCATCTTATTTTTACTTCTGTATCTTTCATCTGGCTGAAGTTTTCATCTTAAAATCATATATATTTCAACATTTCTCTCCACACAAATGGAATTAACGTAATTATCTGAATTTTGCTAGCTGATCATCCACTGAATAAATAATTTTAGCTTCTTTCACTATCACATTTATCAAAAGAAGCACTAAGGTTAATGCCCTAAAAATTATGATCAAGGTACATAAACAAGTCTCATAACTGACATGATGGTGGGCTATAATGAATTGTTCAAACAAAGTCAGCAACTAGTTTTACATGTTATTAATGCAAAAGGCATCATCCTTGCACCAGACTCTGAGGAAAGAAGTAGATAGCCCATTTGAGACCAAAGAATAATAACAAAGTGCAAAGATTTTGCAATCAACATGCCAAATACAGGTAATGGTAAATCTTCCATGGAGTTTATGGGGCTTAAAATAAAGAAAGCATTGCTGAATATTAGCTTCTGGATTAACTTTAGAACTTGTAAAATAAACCCTTTATTAAAAGACTGATTATTCTCTTATATGAGCAATGATTTACAAACTTTAAGTAGAGTGTATACCATATCAAATACTCTCATTTCCTCTTCATAAAGAGATCTTCAGTGAAAGAAAAATTTATGTCTCAAAGTGACAATAAATAATATAAATATGCATAACAAAATACCAAAGAAAAAGACAGTGTGGAAAGAAAGAAAGAAAGAAAAAAAAAGTACTCTCAGAGCAATGCGCATCAGTGAAAAACCATCCTGGACACAGATGGGGTAAAATGCAGGTAACATGCTGGAATCAGAAAGTGAAGTGAGGGGTTGTGCTAATAATGTTATCATACAGTAGAAATGTCCATTTCATGCATGGCAGTGTTTACATGTTAAACTCAAAGAAAAAAAATGATAACACAAAATGCATTTTTTTTTTTTGAACTTTGACACAAAAAAGAAAAGAAAAGAAAAGAAAAGAAAAGAAAAAAAATCATCATCATCATCTCCTTCCAAGAGTTCTTCATATAAAACAGGAAACATGACTTTCTTGAAATGGCTTTTCATGCTGGAATTAGCGTACTTCAGATGGGCAAACCCAGCCTCCAAAGGCCTTCTCTAGTTCTCCTGCAACTGCAAGAGTCAGATGATCTTTGTAGTGATTACCGACCACCTGAAAGAATAAGAAAGATTTATATCAGATAAGTGATGCAAACTGAGTTTCATGTAAAAGCCTGTTTAACACTCATGATGTTAGTTCAAAAACAGCCATTTTTCATAAACAAGAAATTTTAAGATAATTCATGTTAGTATTGGTACAGTTGAGCTTGGATAAGTTCTACAACTATTTTGAACAACAAAACATAATTTGAAATCAAATGAACTTCTAAACAAGGTATCCTATATTGTAATGATCATATTCTATAAGATATGAACAAAAGATACTGTTAATTACCATATATATATTTTTTTAATATAACTATTTTTTGCATGAAGCAGAGAGGAAAGAAGTATTTACATCAGAATAATTAAAACCATTCTGAAACTACTAATTAACATACTTTTTTTTTTTTTTAATCATAACAATTTTTTGCATGAAACATTTATATCAAAATAATTAAAACCCTGCTAGAATTAATAAATAAGACCCTGCCTCACCTGAATGCCAAGAGGAAGACCCTCTGACCCTAAGCCTAAAGGACACTGTGTGGATGGGAAGAGCAGAACATTTATTATTGCTGTGTAGACGAAGTTGAAGGCACGGAAGAGTGGTTGCCCATGATAAGGGGCTGGAGTGGGATGACTAGGAAACAGGAGCACACCATCGTCACCCAAAAGTTCCTGCAGGGATAAGATAGGATTGCAGCTAATTATGGATCCTAAATAATCTTCAGCAGGGTAAAGTGTCTAACCTTGAATTGATAAATAATTAATATATCTTTTTAGAAAAAAATAACAGGAACAAATCCAGTTGGAATCTTTCAAAACTGCTATAAATTACACACTATCAGTATAACTACTGAATCTGTCAAACGTAACAGCAGGGTAACCAAGATCTAAATACTACTATAAGGGTAAAATACTAGCCATACCTTTATCTCCTGTTTCAAGTCAGTGCACATTGTGAGGAGCTTTGGGTAATCTTCTGACCTCTTGCTCTGACTGTTCAACTTCTCCAGGACACCAAGCAGCAGGCCTGGTAGTGTGTGATGAGATAACCGGAACATCCACTTCAGAAGCTCAGTCCAAACATTGATGCTTCCCTGCAAGTATGTGGCTGTCAAGGGACTATTTCATGCAAACTGATGAATCCAATGTAGTGCTTAATATAAAAAATATTCTTAATAGAACTCAAGTAACTAAGGAGTATTTGGTTTTCCATCACCCTACAAAAATGACAAGATGTCATTGTACACTGGCATTTATGTATGGTTATCTTTTCTCCACATTTTCACTTCATCATTTCACAGTATCTTTTATCCAAGCTTATTAACAGGTTTTCTTTACAGCAAGATATTGGCAGAACTTCAATTATGATTAAAAGAATCACAAAAAAGCTAATTACATCTATGTTGCAGTAAATATAATATTCTTGTGACATATTTTGGACTTCCGTTGAATGCTTTTGCTGATGAAGCAGACTATAATTTATCATAATTCACTTTATAGTGTATCACCTTGTGTAGGAAATATATTGATTTTATAAGAAATCTATTCACTTACCTTCTTTAGTGCCAATTCTTCACAAAATGTGTGAGCTTCCTCTACACTTGCTAGTTTGGCAAAGTACATTGGTAATGCTGCTTTGAGCTTTTTTAAGGTAATCTGTAAAAAGGAGATAATTCTAATTAATGGTAATATTTATAAAAAGTGTCTATTAAATGAAGTATAGTAATATAACAATTCCTTCATTTTTGTAGCTAGTAAACAGACTTATAATCTATATGTAGAAGAATTTATGTGAAAGAAAAGAAAAAGTATGCAAACAGTGTAAAAAAAAGAAAAGAAAGTAAAAAAAAAAAATAAATAAAAAGCTTAGGAAAAGGTCCTGCAGCAATTAATACCTTTTTAGCTTTAATGCCATATGCTTTCTCAAGATGATTTATAACTTTCTTTTGAGCAGCACGAAGTTCTGGGTGAACAGGCGTCACAAGTGGAGAACCACCATCGTCCTCCACGTAAAAATATCGGAGCTTGCTGATATCCACCTGACGTTTCATAAAACTCGTCAATCAGTTTGCCTTCAAGCTTTATTATAATATAATTATCAAGATATAATTCCAATATAACCTCAGCATTATAACTAAAATATATCACTATATCAAAAATCACTGCCATATCCACTCTCAACAATTGCACATGAAAAAGTTAATATTTAGCCTCTTTTTCTCTGGACACCTAAAAGCACACTGGTCCTAACCTTCTGGTCAAGTGTAAGCATATGAGAATTGTTTGCACCCAGAACCTTCATCATGGGCGTCAAGTCTTGTACATATCGACACATGGGTCCTGTCACTAGGAACTCCATAGCTTCTCCAGTTGCTACAGGTTCCTGACCTATATTACTTACTATGCCTGGAAGGACAGATCATATTAAGGTATGGCAGTTAATCTTCCATGACTAAGTATTTAACCTGATGTTAAAAGTTATCTTTACAGGCAGTTTTATTAGTGATCTTACACTTATAAAAGATATCAATTATAAAATCCGTTAAACTTTCTATAATCCTAAGTTATATATTTCATTGTTTTGAAACAACTAACTAAAATATACTATATCTATAAAGAGCCTGAAACAGAATGTAATCAACTCACAGTATCTAAACCTTTAAGGTGTTACGAGTAATGGATATCTTTAATTGCAAAACAGAAAACCAAAGACTTACCATAAGTGGGTTTGTGACCAAATATGCCATTAAAGAAAGAAGGCATGCGTATTGATCCTCCAATATCTGATCCAATACCAAAGGGTGATCCACATGCAGACTGTAGACATCCCTAAAAATATTAATAATAACAAGAATAATTAGCTATGATATCATAATATGAAATACGATGAACTAAACAAAAAATGGCAACTTTACATACTTTATCTTATCCTCATTTTTTCATTTATTTGCTACACTCCCTACACTTAGCTGAAGACACTGACAGACAGGAAACTGCTTAATTCTGATGTGACTTGACAGTTAAATAGCCCTGTTTGTTTGCCTACATATACTTATATTATTTTACCTGATACATGTGCTAAAAGTTAGTAGACATATATTTGCAGTAGATCCTACCATACACTAAATGCAAAACTATTTATTACAATGCAAAAGCTATCAAAACAATTTTTAAAACTGCCATCATCCAAATAATTCCACTTTTCATGTGACTATATCACAGTCTTCACCTAATCAAAATAACAGGCATACAGACAATGCTCAGGTAGAGCCTATAAGCATCTGTGCACCTTTTTGTATTTGATAGTTGCCCATGTTGCCCAAAGATATAGTTAACTATTTCAAATCCAAAAAATCCTCTTACATTTTCTAAAGAACCAAGCAATATGAAGTTACCTAAAAGTATCAGGCATTATCATGGTGCCTAAACTATCTTACACAGTAAAAACTAGGTAACATGTAAAGGGAAAAATAACAAAAATAAAAAAAATTTACATGGCTAAAATCTGTGAAGTAGCAGAGCTCAGGCAGAATACAAGTTTCCAGTGTCCACTTTAAAAACTTATAAAGCTAAATTAAATTAAACCAATCTATATGCCATATTGCTGAACATTACTGATATTTTTTTTATATCTAAACCTCAGTAATCCAATTGGCTGCAAAACTAGATGCTCCCTGATAATATCACCCACTCTAAATCTTGAAGTTTCTTTTTTTCTTCCAGATATACTGTAAAACATTAATAAACATAATATATTTCATGATACTACCATAAACCCGAGACTTCTTTTCCCCCCAACAAAAACATAAGATAAAATACTGTAGAACCATTTCACACTTGCCTCTCCTCCAGAGGAGCCTCCTACAATACGGCAGGAACGGTAAGGGTTGTTAGTTCTCCCATAAATGGTGTTGGAGCTCTCCCACCACATACAGAGCTCTGATACATTTGTGACACAGAGGGGGATTGCTCCAGCCTCTCGCATGAGGTGCACAACATCAGCATCTTCCTCTGGTATAAAGTTTTTCCTTGAATGAAGGCCTGCTGTTTGTCGCAGTCCTGTAGGGGTGAGTCAGGTTTTAACAGCAATCATGAACAGTGTAGGAGCAGTTTATAATGCCATAAACCTGACAATTACAACCAGTTCATTCGAACTTGAAGTGTTTATTGTTAGTAATAATCAAAGAGTGCCATAAAACTGAGGATGAAATTCTGCTGAACAAAACAATTACCCTTTTAGTTCAGTCAGTTTAAAAATTCTTCAGTTCTTCTGGACATTTTTTTCTGAGTAGAATCAACCAGACAGAAAAATACAAAAGGTTAAAACTAAATCATAAAATTTCTCAACTGATTTTTTTCTTTTTTAATTTTCTTAAAGAACATATATATAACTATAAATATTCTTCATCACTACTACTTCATTGGATCAGTCAGTGACATAGAGTTGGAGATATAAAGGGTCATCTTTCATATTTACAAGTATATTTAGCTTTACAATTTCATTGTAACAAGTACTTCCATAATTGATACCAAAATTTCACTAGGAAATTCCCTTTCTTCAACTTTCCTTACTCTTGCCCTTGGCTTTAATTCAGATCTTTTGCTTCTCTGAAATTCCAGTACCTCCTTTTATCTCTAACCTATCCTCTCTTATCCTCTCTTTATTAGTGACCTTTTACTTTTTCTTTCTTTATTAACCTTCTTCTCCCCTTATTCCTCCTTTGCTCTTTAATTTCTTCTCTTTTCTTATATTGTTAACCTTGTAAAAGGAAGCACAGCTACAAAAAGAGAGGAAT